CGTAAAAAAAAAAAAAAAAAAAACGTATGAAAAAAAAGCCCATTCCAAAAAAAAAAAAAAAAAAAAAATTACGAGAATGAATAAATGGCAGATTATATCGAAAAGTGTTATAATCAAATCGACATAATTAATCTGTTGAATGATGAAATGCAGACGAATAACTAACTGAACATAAATACACACACGTGAATTAAGCATTAAGCGTAGCAAGAAACAACAACAAAAAAAACGAAAAAGATATGATTAGATTGATCATGTAGTTTCAATATATACGAGTGGCTTATTTATGATGATGACACTTGTTGGTGATTAAGTATTTAATAATAATAATAATTTGAAACTCATCTTTCATCGCTAAGTAATCATCACATTTAATTTGTCGTCAATTCTATCATTTCCAAATGACATACAGATCATATTTTTAATCCATCATTTTTTCTTTCCTTTTACATTTATTGAATTTATGAATTAAATTAGATTTAGCTAAACACATTGAAAATTACAACAAATTTACTTTTTTTTAACCTTCAATCAAAGAAAAAAAATTCATATTTTTCAATTATTAGAGCCAAGAAAAACGATGGATAAATGTATGAAAATTGTACAATCTTTGAGAGATTGCTTTTCAGATTTCCGGTCGATTAGAAAAAAAAACTGGTGATTCAGATAGTCATCACGTTACACGTTGGCAATGGTGATCAAAGATATATGTTTGAGTTTATGTGAGTGTGTTAATGTGTGATAAACGATCTAGGATTCGTTGTCAACAAACACAACAACCCGATCTAATGAACAACATGTCTAACGCACCAGATGATGAAAAGAAAGAATTTCTTCATCTTTTTTTCATCTTCTATTGACGAAAAAAAAGAAATGGGAGAGAAAGTGAAAAATTGTCAACCTCCGGTTTTGTCGTCGGATTTCTGAAAGTGAAAAAAAAATCGTCATTAAACTTCAGTGATCCATGACGTACAACATCCGTATTACTTCTACTTATTACATTCAATCATCATAGTGTGTGTACTTGTGTGGCTCCCCAATCATCCTTCAATTGGAAATGACTTCAATTTTTTTTCGCTAGTCAACGATGAAAAATTATTAGAGAAGAAAAAAAAACGAAATAAGAGACTGTCATCCGATGGTAGAAAGGACAAATACACATATATGAATCAATGATTCATGAAGAGCCAGGATACAGGATAAAATTTTTGTTTTTTTTTAATTTTTGTCTAGAATCATTCACCAAAATGAAAAGAGTTGACAATAGGAAGCCAAATTTTTTTTTCTTCTTGAAGATAAGAACAAGTGAAGAAAAAATCGAAAGTATTCGTCAATTGTCATCAGGTAAGATTTGTTATCATTGACGCTGGTGGTGGTGGTGGTGGTGGTGGCTCCTGGCCCAGATAATTTTTCAGCTTTTTGTTTCATTTATTCAACAACATTCTTTTTTTTTGGGAGAAAAAAATGACGAGAAAGTGAAAATTGTTTGTTGTCGATGGATGGTGTTCATTGGAACATGACGCTCCATTGGTTCATTTTTTTTTTGTTTTCATAAAAATCAAAATTACAATTACCAAAATAAAAAAAAAATAAAAAACAAAGTAGACAACTATCATCATCAGTTTGAACGATCCGTTCTAGTTAACTATTAGTTTCATTATTAGACCGAAGATAATTGGGAGAAAAAATACTTTAATATGATGGTGTTTATGATGACTAAACATTGTCAAAACAGAACGGATGTATAGCACGCGCAAATTTTTTTTATTATTATTTTCTTTAGGCGCCATCACAGTTCGTTTTTTTTGTCGAAGGTCTAACGACAAAACGAGTATAAATGTCAATTTAGCGCAATTATTTACTATATATGTTACTCAACTAAACTCTTCGTGTACTATCTATTTTATATTTCGTTTCTTCATTTTGTCAAATCAATCCAGAAACTAGATAGAAGATTAAAATAAAAGAAAGAAAATCATTATGGTAAATGATAATGGTAATTATAACCGAAGAAACAAAAAAGATAATTTGGTTCCATTTGTTTCAACCTGAAACCTGTTGCAATCATCATTGAAAAGAAAATAGTTTCTGCTACTACTGGAACTACAACGACAAAATAAAATTTCAATGAAAAAAAAAAATTTTGTGAATCTATTTGGGAAAAATAATGAATTTAGCAAATTGCAACGATTATGTAATATTGAATGAATATTGATCAAAATAGACAGCTAATAATGTAATACAAAACAAAAAAATAATGTTTGGAATGCGAAAAAAATTGTAACACACCCTTTTTATATTTCGTAGGGGATAGAAGAGTAATGATAAAGAAGGAAGATTTTGTTCAAGTTCATCATCGCCATTATTATTATTATTATTATCAAAAAGAATCATCGAAATAAATGAATAGAAAAAAAACTGTTGAAATAAAAATTCCAAATAATAATAATAATATGTTTGAACTTGTATGAAGTTGGCAATCGATACGATGATCATATTTGATGAATATTTGACGATCAATATAATGATGATGATGATGGCAATATATTGATTGTATATTGATTTGCAATTAATTGCGATTGATCCATTGATCCATGAATCTTTTTTTTCTACTTTTTACACTCCTCCACACACACACACACATATAAATATTTCATTGATTATAGTCAAATGGATCAAACAAAAAATTATTTGCTCCAAATACATGTGTTGCTAAATTGTTTTCATAGAAATAAATAAATAAATAAATGAATATATAATGGATATAATATCACATCATAAAAATATGATGATGATAATAATCATCAACATCATTGCAAATATTATCATGAAAAAAAAGATGAATGAAATTTTAAAAACCAAAGAGATCATCAATTATTATCATTCCACATTTTTTTTAAACAATGATCCAAAATAGCATTGAAACGAATTGTACCAAGTGGTTAAACATCGAATGGAATTTAGTTTTTAATATGAATTCTGACATTAAATTGATGATGAAATTGATTGATTCAATTTCAAAGATTTTGAATGTATGTATTGAAAAATATATATAAACAACAGCAACAGGTGTATATCTAACGTTATGTTCGCTTGTTTGGATAGATGGATCATCATTATTATGGTATTCTTTTCAAAATATTAGCATCAATAGAAAAAAAAATGAAACAATTTGATGAATGATTGAATGATAAACAAATCAATCATATCAATATTTGGCCATCGATTATTATTATCATTTCAAAGACTACTATTTTTTTCAAAAACAAAACAAATCAGAAAATATGATTGCAATGTTGTGATTACACCGAAGGACAAAGGTGTGGATCTATTAGAAAGACAAACAAAAATCATCTGTTTTGCTTTTTGTGAATTTCAAAAAAAAAAAATACCTAGCCAAAGAATCCAAAGAAAGTTTGCTTATCCAATTTTCATTACCATGATGATCGTAGACCTTGAATTTTTTTCTTCATTCATTTTTATACAGAAAAAAGCATGATGAAATTTTCAAACAAAATAGATTTATTTGTTTGTTGTGAACTACTTAATGCAAAGTGAAATAATATAACGACCTTTCATCGATTCTTGTGATGATGAAGTCCTTTCTTTTTTTCCTGTTCTTGAATATCATCACCATCCTAAATTGTTGGATTAATTTTCATTAAAAATTTCCAAGTGACATTTACATCATGGTACACACACACACACACACATTGATTTTTTTCCATGAATCAATCAAATTTGAAATCTAAAATTTCGAAAATGAAATGTTTTTTCTCACCATACTTTTTTTCACTTTCGTAATATTATCACCATCATCATCATTATTATTATCATCGAAAAAAATTTGTGATACAATTGTCAATCACAAATCACAAAAAATGACAAGATCTGCAAAATATTTTTGCTGTTACGCGCTAAAAATTTTACTAATTGGATTCATTCATTTTTGTTTTACCTGGTTCCGATTGCTCGCGTAACAGCAAAAAAAAAAAAAAAACAAGAAAGAAACTGTAAGGGCAATATTTTTTCCCCTCGCTTTCATTCTTTTTATGACATACATAAAGCAATAAGTAGAAAAAAATACAGTGTTACGACATTTTGTTCTACAGTGTGCAAAGGAGATGAAAAAGAAGAGTGAAATATAAAATAACGAAACGGTTAACATATCCTAAAGAAGAAGGAGAAAATTGTTTGTAACAAAAACACAGAAAAATTCATTCAAAAGTTTCGTTTGGATGATTTTCTCCAAAAAAAAGTTGACAATTTTTCTTATTACTTGGTAAATATCAAAATGTTGATTATAAATGACAAACATTTTTTTTTTTGGTCAAAATTATGTTCTTCCCATTCTCATCCATCTTCTATTTTATTTTCCGTTTGTTTATTCAACAGAGAGAGAAAAAATCTTATACTGAATTTTTACCAAAAAAAAAACTGATTACAACCATATTATTGTATCATGAACCGAAACGAAATGATATCCTCGAATAAAATACAATGAAATGATACATAACTTTTAACTTGAAACAAAAAAAAATTATTCAAATTATTTTCTGGTAAACACACAATTATTAATTTTCTTTCTTTTTTTTCCTTAATTTTTAATTGCACAAAAAAGATTTCATTTTTTTTTGTTCACTTTCACTCATCATTATAATTTACTTTTGTTAATCATCATAATCATTACACACATTCACACAAGTACAAATTAGAAGGAAGTAAAAAAACCCTTTTTTCTGAATTTAAAGAAAAAAAATGGTGAAAAATGATAAAATTACCTGATGATTGTTTTAGTCGATGATCGACGATTACGATGGTGTTTTCTATTCGATGATGATGATCGAAGTTGTTGTTGTTGTTGTTGTTTTTGTTGTCTTTTATGATCAATAATATTATTCTGATTTGAACATAAAGAATCAATAGAATGATCTGATATCGAATGATTAGAATGTTGTTGTTGATGATTATGATTTTGATAAGGTAGTTGTTGCTGTTCGAAATTTGAATTCAAATTTGCTACCACGGACGATGATGATGATTTGTTGGTGGTCGTTGTTTGACCAGTAATGAGACCTATAGGTAATAAGAACAAAATGAAAACCGAAAAAAAAATTATTATTATCAAGTCCATATGTTGAACAAAACAAAACAAGAATTCTGAATTCAAAAAAGTATATCGTTCGATAATGAAATTGAATCAGAAGCCACCTTTTAATCATCAACAATGACACAAAATAAAATAAAATAGCATTGATGATGACCAAAAGCCAATGGACCAAAACCGGACAGAAAAGTCAGCATATTTAAAGCACATACACACAGGTGGTCGCGTGTCGCACGCTAGGTCTAATATATGGAAAAATAAACCGTTAAAACTCATCATTCTATGTAGAGATATGAATATAAAGAAACAATGGTACGGTAGCTCACCACAAACTAACTGTATATAATTTTAAATGATCGACAGAGTAGAGCAGCGGATGATGATGATGATCGACATCATCCGTTCAATTCAAGATGACAGATGCCATCACGAATACTTCAAATATAAAAGAACAGCTGCTTTTTCTGTTAATTAATTATTGTCAACCTTTACTATAGTAAACTACATGGAGACAATTCGATAAATTCAGAATTTATTCATTATCGAACAGCAAAATGATAATCAACTAAGATGACTAAGGAGAAAAAAATATTAAAATAAAACAAATGAACAGCTTTTCCGGTTGAACTTTATTCGATAATTTTTTCCTCTATTCGATATGTGATGAACGAATTTAAATTTTTGAATTTTGGAAAAAAAAATTAAAAAATACATACCATTACCATAACGATATCCTGTTTGTCGATTACCATTATTCTGATAACATACATCATGTTCATGTATGAGTAAAACTTGATTCGAATATAATATTAATTCTTGGCCACGTGTTAGATCGCGTGTCACTTCCAGATAAATCTATCGTTTAGAAATAAAAAGACAAAGAGATGATACAATCAATAAAACAAAAACAAAAACAATATAAAAGAAATTAACGGTTTATAATATAAAAAAATGATAGTTTTTGAATGAAAAAAAAAAATAGGTGACATTCGATTATTATCGACAGACATAGCCATTCATTCATTCATTCATCCATTGAATACACCCTCGAGGGCATTAATTAAACGTTTTTTTCTTCTTCTTCTTCCTCTATCCATCATTATCATCATCATTCTTTTCAAATCAGCTTCGGAAATGAATTTTCTCTCCCTTTCTTTCATTCCATTCATTTGAGGAAGCTGCTATACCAGAAAACAAAAAAAAAAGGGAAGAAAAAACAAACGGCTCATCATTATTATCATCATAATCATCATCATCATCATGTATCATCAATGAACCGTAACCAAATATATATAGATAGACTACTTGGATGTATGAAAAAAAATATCTTTTTTTGTTGTTGTTGTTGCCCAAACACAAATAAAAACAATCATCATCATTTGGATGATGATGATGATAATGATGATGATAATAACTAACCAATCATCAGCATCAATCTATACCTTTGCTAAGTTATATTATGTTTAGCTCATCATTATTATTATTATTAAAAGTCCAAACGCCCCTAAGCAGCCAACAACAACAAAAACATAGCATAGGATACTATAGTATGATGATATTATAGCATGCATCAATGATTTATCCCAATCTTAATTCCACAAAACAAAGATGCAAAAACAACAACAACAACAACAACAAACTGATCAATGATTTCGTGCATAAATCAAACTAATCAATGAAAATGAATGATGAATCCTAATAACACAAATAGATACTTTCGATCTCATCGAATGAGTGATTATTTTTTTTTTATTTATTAACAAACAAACAAAACACAATTGATTTATCGATCAATCACTGAAATAATATTGGTTTTCATTGTTGTTATTATCAAATCAAATTGAATTGAACTTTAAATGAATACTCTAATTAGATATGTGAAACAAAAAATTATTATAATGCTAACAATCGATTGAAAATCGAAAAAACCTAATCAAAAATAAAACAGATGAATAAATCATTCATTCGATTATGATGATGTTTAGGATCATGATCTGGTCATTCAAATGGTTTCATCAATTTTTTTTCCAGTTCATTTTATCGATATGATTAGCCGAAATGAAAATCATGATAAATTTAAGTTTTCATTCCATAATAAACGTAAACGTAACAAAATGATTGGGTGAAAAAAAACGGTTTTCTATTATTATCGATTTCAAAATTTAACTAAATCAATAGATCAATTAATGTGTTCTTTTTTCAATTCCATTTAATTTTCCTTTTAAATTTTCTATTATTACATCATAATTAGTTATAGAATGTTCATGATAATAATAATGTTTGCATTGAATGAATGTTTTCTGGAACATTTTTTTTTTTTGAAAGTTTGTTTTTCCTCCTCTCCATTATGACGTTTGTCCAATTTTGTCCATTTGAATTTCGAGACAGAAATTTCTACGAAAAAAATTAAAATAATTTTTTTTAATGAAAGATGATTGGAAAAAAAAGGAAGACAACAAAAAAAATATATATATCCCTAAGGGTTCATCAATATTACGTAAAATACACAACTACTACACAATTTATCGTTACATCCAAAACACAAAGATAATGATGATGATGATGATATAAGGTTAGGCTTGTTTTGTTTGATCCTTTCCCATCTTGATCATCATCATCATCAGCATAAATGAAATCGAGAATCGACCACAAAAAAAAAGTCGAATCCCTTCAAGGCATAAATAAAACAACTGGCCAAAACATATTTTTTTTTTGCTTGTTCGATTAAAAGATTTTATTATTAATTTTTTCCATTTTCTTATATCATAATGATGATGATGATGCACAATCATTTTTAGTGAAAAAAATAAATATCTCATTACCAATATCAAATACCGAATGTCTTCACTTTGTGGTAAAGATTGATAAATGATAAATTCATTCATGAAAAAAATGAATGAATGAATACACTTTCACTTCATGGATGGTCAGTTTGAATATTTTTTTTTTTTTTTTTTTATAAATGATCAAAATTTTTTTTTCCCCCCCAAAAAAAGAA